GTCAAGAGATCCAGACCATCCTGGCCAACATGGTGAAAACTCGTTTCTACTAAAAACACAAACATTAGCTGGGCATGGTGGCACGCACCTGTAGTCCCAGCTATTTGGGAGGCTGAGGCAGGATGCTCGCTTGAACCTGGGAGGTGGAGGTTGCAGCGAGCCGAGAGATCACACCATTGCACTCCAGCCTGGGTGACAGAGGGAGACTCTGTCATTAAAAAAAAGAAGAAGAAGAAGAAAAGAAAAAAGGAAAAGCAAACAACAAATGCAAAGCCCTTGACATGAGACCAGGCCTGGTGTTTCAGAGAAACCCCATGGACATGCCGCATACTATTCTAAGCTTTCTCACTCCTAGGAAGGAAGTACTGTTATTTACCCATTTATAGATGGGCAAACTGTGGCCAGAGATGATAAGAAACTTGCTTTAGGAGGTAGCTGTTAAGGAAGGCAGAATTTGTGCTCTTAAATACTAAGCTATTAAATCATTAAAGAAATGATTTCATTAGCCTGGGTAGACCCAGGTACCAAACACTTATACCTCCAGCTCCCAGTGAACTTTCCAAGCCCTTAAGGAAAACCCTGGGTGTGGTTGTAGGGGAGGGAGTGACTCAGGCCTTGGCTGGCTTCCTGCTGAGTCACTGCTCCTGGGCCCAGGAGGGAGGCTCAATCCTCATCTCTTCACAGGGGCAGGTTCCTGCCTTTTTGGGGGGGATGCCTGGCGCCAGGCCTTAACCGCACACCATCGGTGGATGAATTTGTCTGACTTTCCCAACGCCTTCGTTGTGAAATTGTGGGTGGGCTCCATTTCCTAATGTGACTCTCTGGCCAGCAAGGGGGAACTTGCTGCCCAGACTAGCGATTCATTCTCCAAGCCATGCTGGATGAACAGGTTCTGCCCCTTAACAGGCTGGCTGTCTTCCATCTCAGCTGGACCAGCTGTGTGCTTGGCACACCCACAACGAAGTTGAGCAAGATGCCAGGGGAGCCACACGTATCACCCTGGGCCTCGTGATGCTCACTCTAGACACATTCACAAATACAGCAAGGAAGAAATGGGTAAGGACTGTGATGTGGATGCCAAGTGCCATGGCACCAAGTTTGTTAGTACTTCAAACCGAGACTCAGCCGGGCGTGATGGTGTGTGCCTGTAGTCCCAGCAACTTGGGAGGCTGAGGCAGGAGGATCGTTTGAGCCTTGGAGGCAGATGCTGCAGAGAGCTTTGAATGTGCCACTGCACTCCAGCCTGGGTGACAGAATGAGACTGTCTCTAAAAGCAACAAATAAGCTGGGAGCGGTGGCTCACGCCTATAATCCTAGCACTTTGGGAGGCTGAGGTGGGTGGATCATCTGAGGTCAGGAGTTCGAGACCAGCCTGGCTAACATGGTGAAACCCTGTCTCTAATAAAAATACAAAAAATTAGCTGGTGTGGTGGTGGGCACCTGAAATCCCAGCCACTTAGGAGGCTGAGGCAGGAGATCACTTGAACCTGGGAGGCGGAGGTTGCAGTGAGCCGAGATTGCTCCGTTGTACTCCAGCCTGGGTAACGAGAATGAAACTCCATCTCAAAAAAAGAAAAGAAAAGAAAACAAAAAACCAGAGATTCATGAACAATAATAATAGCTAACATATAGTGAGCATTTAAACCGTGCCCAGTGGTGTTATAAGCACTTAACATGTTTTATTTCATTTTTGTAACCCTCACAATACCTTATAAGGGAGGAACTTCCTATTTTGTAGATAAGAAAGCACAGAGATGTCACAGCTAGAAAAGGGCAGAAAGGACAGCAGGGACAAAATCCTGGAGTCAGGAAGGTCTGGGCTAGATTTAGGGAGCTGCAGGGAGCTGCCAGGAGCTGCGGTAATGGGCTGGAGGAGGAGCGGAGTTACAGTGAGAGACAAGGCTGGAGAGGACAGTAGGGCCAGATTCAGAGTTTGGTCTGGAGTTCAGGGTTGGTAGGGAGCCACTGAGGATTTTTGAGCATGACTTTCCTCAGTGCCTCAGCTGCATCTTTTTTTTTTTTTGAGATGAAGTTTAGCTCTTGTCCACGATGGGATGCAATGGCGCGATCTCAGTTCACTGCACCCTCCAGCTCCCAGGTTCAAGAGATTCTCCTGCCTCAGCCTCCCAGGTAGATGGGATTACAGGTGCTTGCCACCACACCTGGCTAACTTTTTGTATTTTGAGTAGAGATGGGTTTTCACCATGTTGGTCAGGCTGGTCTCCAACTCGTGACCTCAGGTGATCTGCCTGCCTCAGCTTCCCAAAGTGTTCACACCTGGGATTACAGGTGTGAGGCCCCACATCTGGCCAGAGCTGCATTTTTGTTGATTTGGTTTCAGGCCACCTTGGAAAACAAAGAGTGGGGATTAAACAAAAACAGTGGGAGGAACTCGGGCTCTTTGTGTGTTGACGAGGCCCTGTCTCTTGCTCACCCAGAATCTTCTGTATTTGTTGTGCTCCTGCTCCAGAATATCCTCGGATAAGAAATGTACGTTTCTGGAAACATTCTAACAGGTGTTGTCCATAGCTGGACCATCCTCTCCTTTGGAGCCACGCCCACCTCCCCTGATCCAACTCACTTTTCCAGGCTTTCATTCCTTGTTCTCCAATTCTAGTGAGCACATTAGTTGTGTCTGGCTAGCTAGCATTTCCACTTTTGCAAAACTTCTCCTCCTCATTCTTGTTACAAACTCTGGTGGCCGGGCGCAGTGGCTCATGCCTGTAATTCCAGCACTTTGGGAGGCTGAGGGGGCGGATCACTTGAGTTCAGGAGTTTGAGACCAGCCTGGCCAGCATGGCGAAACCCCATCTCTACTAAAAATGCAAAAATTGGCCGGACATGATGGTGCACGGCTGTAATCCCAGCTACTTGGGAAGCTGAGGCAGAATCACTCCAACCCTGGAGGTGGGTGTTGCAGTGAGCCGAGATTGTGCCAGTGCACTCTTACTTGGGTGACAAAGCGAGACTCAGTCTCAGAAAAACAAAACAAAAACAAGAGCTGGTGAGGTTGCCTCACAATACCTTCTTATGGTAGACACCATTAGTGACCTAGCCAATGCAGTCTCCCTCCTTCTTGGTTTAAGAAATACCAATTTTGCTGGGGATGGTGGCTCACGGCTGTCATCCCAGTACTCTGGGAGGCCAAGGCAAGAGAATTGCTTGAGCTCAGGAGTTTGAGACCAGCGGGGCAACGTGATGATACTCCATCATTGCAAAAAATACAAAAATTAGCTGGATGTGGTGGTGCACGCCTGTAGTCCCAGCTACTCGGGAGGCTGAGGTAGGAGGATTGCTTGAGCCTGGGAGGTTGAGGCTGCAGTGAGCTGAGATCATGCCACTACACTCTAGCCTGGGCGGCAGAGCAAGACCTATCTCAAAAAAAAAAAAAAAGAAAAAGAAAAAAGGAAAAGAAAAACACTAGTTCATTGAGGGTGACCACATGGCCAGCCCCAGGTGGTAGATTCTTACACGTCTAAGCCAATAATGACTCTGTTCCCCACTTTCCCAGTCCCCCTTGCAGCTTTGCTAATAACACCTAAGGGGAGGTCTACTTCGGAGCTTCTGAGTAAGCTTTCGATTTTTTTTTCTTTTTTTTACTTTAAGTTCTGGGCTACATGTGCAGATCATGCAGGATTGTTACATAGGTATACACATGCCATGGTGGTTTGCTGCCTCCATCGCCCTGTCACCTACATTATGTATTTCTCCTAATGTTATCCCTCCCCAATCTCCCCACCCCCTGCTATCCCTCCCCTAGCCCCCCACCCAGAAAACTTTTGATTTTTTTGACAAAAGGAAACATTTCCTGCTTCCTCCCTTGGGACAACCTCTCCTCCCTGTCCCAAACTTAAACATAGTCATGAGGGCTAGAACTCTATGCAACTGGAAGAGTATGACTTGAGGGTTGTCAGCAGCCATCATTTGCTGAAAGCCTCTTGCTGAGGGGCTGCTATGGGCAAACAGAGAGAGAAAAACAATAGACCAGAGAGAGAGAAAAGTTGAGGTCTTATTTGAATGTCTAGATCTATCCATGCCTAAAACCAGCATCATCCCTGAAATTCCAAGTGATGAAGCAATACAATGTCTTTCTTTTTCCCTCTTGGTTATTTGAGATGGATTTCCATTATTTGCAGCCAAAGGAGTCAGACCTATACTCCCTGAGCTCAGGTTTCCTGTCTTTTTTTTTTTTTTTTTCCCCAAAATGGAGTCTCGCTCTGTTGCCCAGGATGGAGTACAATGGCATGATCTCTGCTCATTACAACCTCTGCCTCCTGGGTTCAAGTGATTCTCCTGCCTCAGCCTCCTGAGTAGCTGGGATTATAGGCATGCACCACCATGCCTGGCTAATTTTTGTATATTCAGTAGAGATGGAGTTTCACCATGTTGGCCAGGCTGGTCTTTTTTTTTTTTTTTGAGACGGAGTTTCGCTCTTGTTACCCAGGCTGGAGTGCAATGGCCCGACCTCGGCTCACCGCAACCTCTGCCTCCTGGGTTCAGGCAATTCTCCTGCCTCAGCCTCCTGAGTAGCTGGGATTACAGGCATGCACCACCATGCCCAGCTAATTTTTTGTATTTTTAGTAGAGACGGGGTTTCACCATGTTGACCAGGATGGTCTTGATCTCTTGACCTTGTGATCCACCCGCCTCGGCCTCCCAAAGTGCTGGGATTACAGGCTTGAGCCACCACGCCCGGCCCAGGCTGGTCTTGAACTCCTGACCGCAAGTGATCCACCCACCTCGGTTTCCCAAAGAGCTGGGATTACAGGCATTTGCCACCGCGCCCAGCCTGGTTTCCTGTCTTTTTTTTTTTTTTTAAAGTATAAGCAAGTTTTATTAAGATGCTAGGGTGACTGTGCCAGGTCAGAGCCGCAGCAGGAATGCCAGGCAGGGAGATTGGGTGTGTGGGATGGGGGCGGGGCACAGGAGAGCTGAGGGAGGGGTCAGGGTGGGTGCTTGGTGAGGGGGAGGGCAAAGATGGTGTCAGTAGCTTCATTGGGGTTCAGAGTACTTCTGGGGTGTCAGCTCCTCCATCCCCTCAGGGGGCTCCTTGGGACTGTAAAAAGGACATGAAGAACTCTGTCACAGAGCAGCAGAAACTCTCCAACTCTTTCCAGAGGGTCTGCACTGCATGGACCAGGGCCTCCACGTTCTCCTTCACCCAGGCCACAACCATCTGCCACCAAGTCTGCAGCCACTGCAGTGTGGCCTGGAACCATCTCCTGACCTTGTCACAAAAGCGCTCCTTGTGCTCCTTGATTTCAGGATCCTCAACTTCTAGGACAGGGAGTCTGTTGCCTCTGCACCATAATTAATCTCCTTCTTTCTCAAGTGGAGGAGTGAGCTCCAGGTGCTGTCTCTGATACTGAGCCGCCACAGTGTCCAGACACCACACTTTGACGTTGTCTTCCAGCTCTTTCATGCTCGACTTCACCTTTCCTGTTTTGATTCTCAATTTTCCATCACATCAGCAAATTTTTCAAAGGGCTGACACAGTTGGGCCTTCTGATTCTTATTGTTATCAGAGTGGACCTTGGCGAAACACATGGTGGCCAAGAGTTCCAGGAGCCAGGGCCTGCTTCAGGGGCCCAGACTCCCTACCCAGGATGACCCAGCTCCACTGAGACAGTTGCCTTCTCCACCCTCTTTTTTTTTTTTTTGAGACGGAGTTCACTCCTGTTGCCCAGGCTGGAGTGCAGTGGCTCGATCTCGGCTCACTGCAACCTCTGCCTCCCAGCTTCAAGTGATTCTCCTGCCTCAGCCTCCTGAGTAGCTGGGATTACAGTGACTCTAGTAGGGCTCCAGTCTTCCTCTGCTTGTGACACCTGGTGGCTTTGACTGACTGTTACAACGTGTGAGGGCTGCAGACGCACGTCCATCCACCCGCCTGCTCTTATCCTCAGCAATTCTGCCCCTGAGGATAACTCCACTCTATCGTCTTGTTCAAAAAGTGTCTCAAGGGAATGAGGAATGAAGAAACCTAGGATGTCACCACATACCAAGGCCACTTCAACTCCACCATGTCCTCAGGATGCCTTTGCAACACTATTATTTGAGAAACACTGGGGTTAAGACATGGAAGTCAAAGAAAAGCAAGCAGAGTAGTCAGGGGTGGAGCGGCATGGGGTTTGTCTGATTTTGGAAGGACTTTAGCGATCTCTCCCTTGTTTCTTCATTCATGCAACACATTTTTGTTGAGTACCTATTTGTTTTTTTCATTTTTAATTGAGATGGAGTTTCTCTCCTTCTGCCCAGGCTGGAGTGCAGTGGCATGATTTTGGCTCACTACAACCTCTGCCTCTGGATTCAAGTGATTCTCCTGTGTCAGCCTCCCAAGTAGCTGGGATTACAGGCGCACGCCACCACGCCCCAGCTAATTTTGTATTTTTGGTAAGGACAAGGTTTGACCATCTTGGACAGGCTGGTCTTGAACTCCTGGCCTCATGATCCACCCGCCTTGGCCTCCCAAAGTGCTGGGATTACAGGTGTGAGCCACGGTGCCTACCTGATTCCTTTCTTGAAATGTGTGATTTTAGACAAATTTCTAAATCTCTCTGGGTCTGTTTCCTTTGGGTTGCGATGAGCATTGTATGAAGATAATAAGACCACCTAACATTTATCTTCTGGTTCTGAGCTAAGTTCTATACATGTATCAACTCATTAAACCTCATTTAATCCTCACAACAACTGGGGAAACTGAGGCATAGGAAGATTAAAATACCTTGCTGGGCAGTTGCAGAGCCTGACTTTGAACGTTGGGCTCTGGAGTCTTTGCTCGCAGCCAGATTATTTACTGACATCCCCATTGATAAAGGGGGGATGCCTCACTCATGTGATACTGTTCATCTGTCTCTACTGAGAGATGATGGTGAAGTGGTAAAATGAATGGGTTATGAAGCTGGGCTGCCATGTTTCAAATTCTAGGCTTATCCTTCAAAATGTGTAACCTGATTATTATGAGCAAGTTATGTAACTTCTACACTCATGTCTTAACTTTCTCTTGTGTAAAGTGGAGCTGATAATAATATTCCTAGGGTTTAGGGGAGGATTGAGTGAGTTAATATGATAAACTTAGGATCGTATCTGGTCCATAATAAGTGCTCAATAAACGCTGCCTACTGTTAACTTTTGAGTCTTGTCATTTAGGGAGGCCTCTCCTCCGAATCTTTTTTTTTTTTTTTTTGAGATGGAGTTTCGCTCTTTGTTGCCCAGGCTGGAGTGCAGTGGCACAATCTCAGCTCACTGCAACCTCTGCCTCCTGGGTTCAAGTGATTCTCCTGTCTCAGCCTCCCAAGTAGCTGGGATTACAGGTGCCTGCAACCATACCCTGCTACATTTTTGTATTTTTAGTAGAGATGGGGTTTCACAATGTTGGCCAGGCTGGTCTGGAACTCCTCACCTCAAGTAATCTGCCCTCCTTGGCCTCCCGAAGTGTTGAGATTACAGGCGTGAGCCACCACGCCCAGCTGCCTCTCCTCCTAATCTTAATTATGTTTTCTTTCCCTGTAATTCACTCTCATAGCGCTTAGGACAATTTGCAATCGTATATAAGAGTAACTATCTCATGGGGTTATTATGGTGGATAAATAAGATATGAGCAAAGCATGAATTTTGTGTATGTTTGGCTCTTGACATATGTGAATTGTTATTTTTGTTATTATTATTTACACTGAATTCCTTCCTGGGTCAAAAATCACTGACATGTCTACATTACTGGCAATTTCACCAAATCTAAGGCACCATTAATTGTAACCCACACCCTTACTGCTGCGTTTCTAAGAAATAGAAAAACCGTGACACAAAACTTTCCTGTCACTTAGAATTTTCATTTTATGCATGTTAAAAGAGCTATTTTAAGTCTTATATAGACATAGTTTTTTTTTTTTTTTTTTGAGATGGAGTCTTGCTCTTGTCCCTCAGAATGGGGTGCAATGGCACAATCTCGGCTCACTGCAACCTCCACTTCCCAGGTTCAAGTGATTCTCCTGCCTCAGCCTCCCAAGTAGCTGGGATTACAGGTGGGCGCCACCATGCCTGGCTGATTTTTGTATTTTTAGTAGAAATGGCGTTTCACCATGTTGGCCAGGCTGGTCTTGAACTCCTGACCCCGTGATTTGCCCGCCTTGGCCTCCCAAAGTTATGTGATTACAGGCATGGGCCTCCACACCCAGCAAGACATAGATTTTTATCATCTATCAAGCTGTTTGTTTCCTTAAAGTATATAATAATTTTTCATTTTAGTGCCGAATCAGTGTGGACTGTTTTTGAAGACAGTGTAAGTGGCGATTAAACTCAATACCTATAGTGCTAACAGTGCACCTAGCTTAAGGGAAAGGATGGCAAGAGGAAGAGCTGTGACCAGCCCTGTGCATGCGTGGGCAATGACTGTGGTCTGGCTGTCAGCAACTTGTCAGTAATTTGAGATGCCACTGATTGCACATCAGTTTACACATTGGTGTAAAAATGTGAAACAAAACAAAACAAAACAAAACAGTGTTACAAACTGATGACATATAATATTAAAGTGTGACTCTCCCCCCTAACAGTTGTATGGGTCCCTATATGGTTTTCCCAAAGCCACCATGGTTTAAATCAAACCTATTAGGTTTTCTTATTTATTTATTTATTTACTTGCTAAGGAGACACAGCCTCGCTCTGTCATCCAGGCTGGAGTGCAGTGATGCGTTCTCTACTCACTGCAACCTCTGCCTCCTAGGTTCAAGCGATTCTCCTGCCTCAGGTGATCCACCTGCTTGGGCCTCCCAAAGTGCTGGCATTACAGGCGTGAGCTACTGCACCTGGCTAAAATGCTATTTTTTTTT